TTAGTCGTTATTCAAGAAGGTAGAAGGACATTCTTGTATAAGCAGTGTTTTAGTCGTTATTCGAGAAGGTAGAAGGACATTCTTGTATAAGCAGTGTTTTGTCGTTATTCGAGAAGGTAGAAGGACATTCTTGTATAAGCAGTGTTTTGTCGTTATTCGAGTGAAGGACATTCTTGTATAAGCAGTGTTTTGTCGTTATTCGTAGAAGGTAGAAGGACATTCTTGTATAAGCAGTGTTTTGTCGTTATTCATTCTTGTATAAGCAGTGTTTTGTCGTTAGAGAAGGTAGAAGGACATTCTTGTATAAGCAGTGTTTTGTCGTTATTCGAAGGTAGAAGGACATTATTCGTTATTCGAAGAAGGTAGAAGGACATTCTTGTATAAGCAGTGTTTTGTCGTTATTCGAGAAGGTAGAAGGACATTCTTGTATAAGCAGTGTTTTGTCGTTATTCGAGAAGGTAGAAGGACATTCTTGTATAAGCAGTGTTTTGTCGTTATTCGAGAAGGTAGAAGGACATTCTTGTATAAGCAGTGTTTTGTCGTTATTCGAGAAGGTAGAAGGACATTCTTGTATAAGCAGTGTTTTGTCGTTATTCGAGAAGGTAGAAGGACATTCTTGTATAAGCAGTGTTTTGTCGTTATTCGAGAAGGTAGAAGGACATTCTTGTATAAGCAGTGTTTTAGTCGTTATTCAAGAAGGTGTAAGCATTCTTGTGCAGTGTCTTATTCAAGAAGGTGTAAGCAGTGTCTTAGCAGATATTCAACTACAAAGAATTAAGGACATTCTTGTATAAGCAGTGTTTTGTCGTTATTCGAGAAGGTAGAAGGACATTCTTGTTTAAGCAGTGTTTTGTCGTTATTTGAGAAGGTAGAAGGACATTCTTGTATAAGCAGTGTTTTAGTCGTTATTCAAGAAGGTGTAAGCAGTGTCTTAGCAGATATTCAACTACAAAGAATTAAGGACATTCTTCTTTAAGCAGTGTTTTGTCGTTATTCTACTAGGATGTCATATCAGCAGTGTTTTAACTTCCGGACAGGTTTTGTTGAGTGCACGCGAGACAAGAGGATGTTCAGACGTTTCCGTTGCGAAACTAAGAGTATTTTCAGGATGTAGCATAAACTGAGTGTGAAATGAGTTTATCATATAAAGGAGCATCCATTTGATTTATATGTGCTGGATGAGAATATAATATGTACATAATAGTTTGTTCAGAAATATGCCGTAGGTGAATGGTTTACCGGCTGTGGTGACATAAGTAATTCTCTTGTTTTGTAGAAGTTCCTTGACGAAAATAATTTGCGTTAATAGTGAAAATGAAACGATTGTTTGATGGTGCTCGGTAAATATATTCCTTGTTAGATACGGCTTGAGAAAACATATTGTTCTATAAAAGGACACCCCTTACACTTGGAGTCGATTCTCCCAGAAAGGAAAGCACCTCAACAAGATATGGTTATATGTGTATATAGGTCGTACGATAGAGTCGATGAACCTTTGTCGGGATCTGTTGTCATGTCAACGATGTAAAACCGTGTTAACGGATGCAGTTGAATTGCGATGTATTTTCTCATGAACAAGGAACTCAGTGAAATAATTCATAGTCGTAACTCACTCTAACATTTCTGTACATTGATTATATAATTCAAAATAACATTAAAGTGTGCTTGCACCACATTCTCTAACTAATAGTTAGAGTTTGCCAGATAGCTTCAAAATGTTTTTCATATGACTGAACCTTTAACGTACTATATGAACCTGCCATACCTTTGGTTCGAAGGGTTGGTTGGCTTGTCAGGACTCGCCATCCATGGAACTTAAGTATTTAATTACAAAACAATTCTGGACAAGATTATAGTTTAAATAGACGCGGCTACCTGGCTAGACACTTAGTCTCTGCATATATAATTATACTTTTGATTGAAACAAACAATTTATATTATGTTGAAAAGGAACCCAGTGAGAAGAGAGATTCAGAGCCCGGGGAAACCTAGACCTGCTTCATTTAGGGCTTTAGCATTGTAAAAAGGGCTTGGCAGAAGGGAAGAGAATTCGAGACAGACTAGTACCTGACCAACGACTGCTCCAAAGGAATCACCAAAGCAGCCTGGCCGTGGTAAAACTGAGAGAAGCGTTCGTAAACGTTACTCTGTTTCGAAGTTCTGAGAGATGCAACATGAGATGTTTCTAGTGTGCATAGACGTAATTGGGTACGTTTAAGTTCTGTCCTTGCCATATATGATGATGTATATGATGGTAATGTCGGTCAGACTGAAACCGAAACCCTGATCTTATAAGTAATGACGTGTAACATCGGGAACCATTTCCTCATTAAGAGGTAGATATTGGAGGAGATACGGACTACCACTACACAAAGCCCTCAAACCACTATAACGCTAACTATATAACTAAATAAGGGGAAAGAGAGAGTGAGAGAAGGACGGGAGAGACAGAGAGTGAGAGAGGTACTAACTATAAAACTAAATAACAAGGACGAGAGAGAGAGAGAGAGAGAGAGAGAGAGAGAGAGAGAGAGAGAGAGAGAGAGGCTATATAACTAAAAAGGAGACAGCGAGATTATATATAAAACTGAATAAGGACGTGAGAGAGATTGAGAGAGAGATAGACACACACACACACACACATGGGGGGTGTCCTTCTAATCTCAGCTTGAAGGATCACCTCAGATCTAAAAGTTTAGGGTGTAGCCCAGATATCGCCTCCAATACTCTGAAAGTGAGGATGATATACATCTTTACGGCCAAAGTTCAGCCCCTGTATGTTCAATCCCCTCATCTCACAGCGGATCGCCTCAACATGCCCAGCTTGAGATGGCGCACGTCGCTTCTAAGAAGCTTATTACTGTTTACTGATTGTTTATCCATCATTGCAGTAACGCTTAATCTGTGCTTTGTTATACATACGTTATAGGAGTCTGAGTGAGTGAGTGAGAGCGGGCGTTGCTTTGTAACATTTCGTGAAAAGTATTCCCATTTTCAGAGTGGAGGATCTTTCTACACCAATTCTTTGCACTGATTCCGTGCAATAACGTCTATTTTTACTTAAAATGATCATATCATTTTGTTCTTGATAACCAACTTCACCCATTCTATGAATAATTTACTCCTCAAATATACTACATATATATAACCTTTGCATATTTCTTCATATACCTACTTCATAACGTACTACATAATTATGTAATTACTTTCTAAACATTCTCTACATACTGGAGTTTTTTCTTGCTTACAACCCGTGAAGGTCCGGGTAAGAATTTATCTTCATTAACTCATGCTTGTCGCAAGAGGCGACTAACGGGATCGGGTGGTCAGGCTCGCAGATTTGGTTGACACATGTCATCGTATCCCAACTGCGCAATTCGATGCTCATGCTGTTGATCACTGGATTGTCTGGTCCAGGCTCGATTATTTACAGACCTCCGCCATATATAGCTGGAATATTGCTGAGTGCTGCGTAAAGCTCACTCAGTATTGAGTTACCTAATAAAATACTACGTATTTTTATAATGACTTCTTCAACTTGCCTCATTTAGCGTCATCAAATGCTTCCTTTGTAAGCTTACTTTAAAAACATGCGTCTATAAACTTACTTTATACAGTAGCTCTGTGTACTTACATGTAGTTACTTTATCAACTTCCTTCGTTTTGTTGGTTTACATATATGTCCTTTGCTTTTAGCTATAATCAATGTAATTTTCATCTTATCAAAAGATTTGAAAAAAAATTATTTAAAAAAACACCTTCTTATGTAAGAATGTGAGTATTTCGATGACGGTTTGGCAGACTCCTTGATAACGATGATACTATCTTGTGGGTGGGGATCGAAGTAGGTGAGATTATTTAAAGGTATAAAGCTGCGGTATGAATAATCCAGGTGTGTAGTATCTGTCTGTTTAGTCTTCTAAAAGAGGAATTTCCCATGTTTTTGTCAAGGGGCAGGATACGTTTACCTTTTCGGAAACACCTGACAGTTATTCATAAACACATGCTTGTAGTGTAGTCGTAATTGTACGGTTGGTTTTGCATTGAGCAGAGAATTATATGAATATGGAAATGGTTTTGTGCTTACATTTAGAGCTGATTCCAAGACTGGAATAGTAAGTTGTTTCTGGAATCAGTCAGAAATGGTTTAATTCTTCGTTTTGACATCCTAGGCAAAGGGCGCTAGTATTAAGGCATTCTGATTAAGCTACTAATGTTTTTTTCAGTTATTATTAAATGCCAGGCTGAAGAATGTATACACTTGGAAATTGGTTTAACCAGAACATTCTATGTTCTATCAATTTGTGACTAACTGAAAACTTGCTGAAAACAGTGCAGACTTAAGGCTCAAAACAAAACTATGAGACGCGCATCAAATATAGATATTCCAGTCGAAAACTCATTTCTCGTTGTTTCAGCTTTATCATAAAAAATAGATGTCTACTTTCTTTTTCCCGACAGTTTCAAACAAGCTTAACTAGCAAATGTGACAACAGTGTCGCATCGCGTAGTGTAGTGGTGAAAAGAGTTTTCGAAAACAGTTTGACATCTCTCGTTCATAACACACAATGTTGAATGTTTCTGAAGAGCGCATTATTTCGAGAGAAAACTACGTGTAGGTTATCAGTATATGTCCTTCATGTGAACGATTTAGAAGCAAGCACATCTCATGAAATCCTGCTTCATTTACCTGATACATTTTGATGTCGATATCTCCTATCACCCACAAAGCGAGTTATCAGCCACTATAAAGTTCGTCAACTTTCAGAATTAGCCCTCTCTCCCATGTTGAGACACGAGTTGTGTGACTCCGATTTGCTCGTGGAAATATGATAGTTAAGCTCGCGATCAAGTGCTCTCGTTGCACGCGAGGACGGGCGACACTTAGACCATGTGACACAGATTTGCATAGAGCCGTGCGTAGTCTGGGTTTCTGATTGGTGAATTGTCGCGGCACTCGAAGTGACCGCACCACCTCTATAAAACAACACCGAGCCGGTCCAGTTTAATGTCATGTAGAACACTCGAAGGAGGCGGTGTATTTCCTATCATAGGAAATAGTCGACTGTGTCACTGAATACGGGATAAACCTTAATTACCGTGTGAGAAGTGTGAATCAGACATTTGGATATAGTGTCGTCTGCTGACACTGCCTTGTCGTCTGCTTGTGTCTTCTGCTACACGGATTGTCGTCTGCTCGCGCCGTCTACCATGCGTCAAGCGTGTCACCCACCTCAGAATCCTGGACCCACACCAGCGATGTTGGCAGGGATGTATGGCAACCCACACGGGCCAGGCATGCCCCACCCACAGTTCCAGTTTGACTGGGTTAACAGCTACACTACGGGGGTGATGCCCCAAGAAAGCACCATGGTTAGAATGCCCTCCAGAAGATCTGAGCAAAGAATCCGAAGACCCATGAATGCATTTATGGTTTGGGCAAAAGTTGAAAGAAAGAAGCTTGCAGATGAAAACCCCGACATACACAACGCAGATCTCAGTAAAATTCTAGGTAAGAAGTCAACCGCTTGCTTTTCAACTTCCTACGGGGTCGTAAATGCTTGGGATATAAGAACATGACACTTTAACAACTGGAGTCATTTAAACAGACCAAGGGACGTATACCCCAATACACCATGGACACACAGGAAAACAAGGTCATCCTATTGATATTGCATACTTGATGTCATAAAGAAAACATTATTTATTTTTAATATTGCTAAGAAAATTATCATTATCATTATTATTATCATCGCTAATTCCGATGCATAGGATATCAACTTTGATTTACGAAATTGAAGAATATATTATATGCCTCCATTTCGCAAATCAATTGTTCTTTACTTTTCGGTTTAAAGGCATACATCTAACTTTCAAACTCATTATATGCCACTTCCAATTATAATTAATGAATCTTAATATGTACATCATATTTACGGTTATTTGACATCCTTTAGAAATCATTCAATACCGCATGAACCTTACTCACCTGGAGCCTTGGTCTCTTTATCCAGTCACATGCGGGTATTAATTTATCACAACAAATTGTCGTGAGAAAATTTCTATTCCCCTAACAAATAATAAATCTGGTCAATGGAATGTAGAACTCTCGCATCTCCGTTCCATGAAGATGTTAACTGTAAACACAGAGATAATAAAGAAGGGTAATTAACGGACGAGGGAAATGTTTTGCAGTGCGTTGGTCGTGATTTTAAACAAATGACCCCCAGAGAGCGCCTGTGTTTTTCGCTGGTGTCGCCTTTCAGCCGTTATAGGGAAACCACTTGTTAGTGTACGTGAAATGATATGAGCTGCGGCCTTGCATCAACATATGGCGATTGTGGCTAGTTGGTATAGCGTCCAGGCCGATGGTTTTCATGTGGCATTATTTCTCAGACTGTGCTGTCTTGGATACATTAGTAATATTCCATGAGAAATGGCAAAGAACATTCAAAGTTCATATTTGTTTTCCATTATCTTGATAGTTGTCCAGAAAATTAAAGCGCATTTGTAAAGGTCAGCGTTAAGTTGAGTAAATGGTTCTCACGAAAGAACAATGTTGGAAAGGTTTTTTGACATTTTTAGTCAAGAATAGTTATTGCTTGGGGTAATAACATTTAAACACTATACATAGCACCTAAACACTATAAATAAAATCTTTACATTCGTTGACAATCAACCCAATTGTATCATTGTTCATATTAACTTTTTAGAATATTGTTTATTATGAAGTCCAAAATCATAATAATATTTAAATAAATGCCCATAGTACAGATATCCATTACCGAGCAGGCTGGTCAGTCGCCAAGTTGATGACTTTCATGAATCACTTTCAATAGTATAATATAGAAGTAGGGCATACTTCAAACTATACTAATTCTAATCATTCTACTAATCATCGGTTGAATATTGTGCAATTATAAATTTTCAAAATGAATGTAGATTCAATACGAAGCTTTGTCGGAAGTATTTTATTGATCACATCCAACGTAATGATTCAAACAATGACAAAGTGCAGTCTGCCATACAAATGTGTTGTCTGCTTAAGTTTCAATCCATATTCAGTGAATGTAGAACAACAAAGGATACTTCGTGAAACGATTACACGGAACTGGAAAGAAAAACTTGGTTTGACACAAGCGCGTATGTTTTACTTGATGATCACATGCAAACTCATCGCTCAAACACAGCGATATTCTTCCTGTGGCCCCACTGCAGATGGGCATGCAGCCAACCATGTTCTTCCTCCTCATGATGAACACCACGTCGTGTATGTTTAAAGTCCTCAATGATGCCCCTTTAAGACTAAATTATTAGAATGTACTGGGTAAGAAACTCGAGTCCTTACCCTCAGATGGGTTGTGTCTGAATCACATTCTGTTGAAGTTGTCGGATGTGTATTTTGATTTCAAACAGTTGCGGCCGATTTGTATTTCAATGAAAAGTATAAGCATCCTATAAGCATAAGGGGGCGGTGGGGTAGCCTAGTGGTTAAAGCGTTGGCTCGTCACGCTGAAGACCCGGGTTGGAATCCCCACATGGGTACAATGTGTGAAGCCCATTTCTGGTGTCCCCCGCCGTGATGTTGCTGGAATATTGCTAAAAGCGGCGTAAAACCAAACTCAGTCAGTCAGTTATAAGCATAAGGGTGATGCAGTAGCATATTACGGTCTCAGAAATAAAGTTATGTGTAAGTTAGCGGAAATAATTCCACAAAGGAATCCTCGAGTATCATGGAACTTCAAGTCTCTTAATTTCAAGAATGAAACGAGTGAGATAAAACTGAAGTGGCGATTGTTCCGTCAAATATGTTCTATGAGAGTTTTTAGGCCGCCGATCCGTTCAAACAAGGGCAACATTCAAACCAAATGTCTCTTTGTTGAAATAAGTTAAATTACATGACTGTGTCTGATTGAACAGAAGAACTGTGCACTTCCAACATTTGCGGAGATGCGAACTACCTTGATGAATGTGTTCCGTGTGATTTCCCAGTCGGGTATTTTTGTCCATGACTCCAGATGCGTATATTACTAAGAAAATCACGAATCGGGGGAATTAATAAACAAGGAACCTGGTGCGATAAACATCCCGTATATATATGTCTGTGTGCTAAAGGGAGAACGCTAATTAAGACAACCGGACACCGTTGTGAAATCTCTAAATAGAACTCATGGTAGACATTACCCTGACCGGTTGAAAACGCGTAAGCAGACAAACAGTATCAATTAATTATGATTAAAACTTAAAGCTTGATGAAATTACGATTGATTTTTATGTATTGATGAGTATCGGGTTTTTGATAAAATATATCTCTGGATGTTAAGGTAATTGTGTAGATATTAAGACGTTATGACGTTATGTTATGTTACAAAAATATCAAAATGACTCACCGAAAAAGTGATTTGCAAACTCGAACATATGAAATCGTTAGCGACTGTCTCAGGTGGAATGATGATAGGTTTGAAAACTAATAATGTGAGTGAGTTTAGTTTTACGCCGTCTTTAGCATTATTCCAGCAATATCACAGAGGGGACACTAGAAATGGGCTTCACATATTGTACCCATGAAAACTAATAATATTGTCCTTTAACAGAACAGGAGTCGGAAAATCTCCGCGACCATCTCTCCACTGGAGATATTCCTTTTACCTGTTTACTATGTTTTCGTTATTGTTTCAGGAAAGAAATGGAAGGGCCTTCGTGTGGAAGAGAAGCGGCCATTTGTTGAGGAGGCAGAGCGACTGAGGGTCCAACACATGCAGGACCACCCAGACTACAAGTACAGACCCCGGAGGCGAAAACATCCCAAGAGAATCTGCAAGAGGGCGTCATCTCTCACGTCATCCGGCGATGCTAGACCTGACAGTCTCCCTCCCGTCACGACGTTCGGTCGGGGGTCCACGCCCGGGGGTGGGTCGAACATGAGAAAACAAATGACCACACCTCACACCGGGGCTAGCCTCTCAGCCCCCATCTTGTCCAATCTCCTCAACACACCCGAATCATCACCACCTTCGAGCCCAGACACTTCTAAACCACGAAACTCATCCAGTCCAGACTTGACAGACGATCAAACCGGACGGTCGTCTGCGAACAGCAGCCATTATGAAAGTGTTTTGACTTCCAGTGGACTTTTGACGCCTGATCGTTCGCCAAATGACGCGGGGGAGAGTGTGTTCAAATTCCCGCCACACAGCGAAGACAGTCGACTGAGCGGGACTCAAGGGTCATCATATTCAGAACTATTGCGGAAATTCAGTACAAACGGGAATATGTACATTAGTCGGTTCCGGAACGACTACACCCCAGTCCCCACCAGCACCAACTTGAACTCGTCCTCAGAGAACCTCGTCACCCTCCGTAAGCTAGTGAGTCAGCCCCACACCACCATGTCTAGCTCCTATTATCGTCAGAAGTCGTCTGCACGAATGCAGCAAACAAGTTTGAAGTCAAACATGGCCACACCCAGTCCCTACCCCTCCTGCCGGCAACAAGTGGCTCCTTACCCCCAGACAAGCACCCACCTCCCGGAGGGGGACATTCTCGAGAAGTTCTCTGAAGTCGAGAGACTTGGCGACGTCGATAGAAGTGAATTTGACCAGTATTTATTCGGCTCGTCTTCCCAGACCAATCCAAACACAAACAGCTATTGCCGCGCTGGTGTGACGTATAAGTACAGTTCAGTCTCTTACGATCAAGTGGCGAGTTCGCCCGAATACGACCCCGGTTCAAATGAGGTCTCGCCAGCGGGAGAACATAACGAAGACATGGGCTCCGACTATGACGTCGCCTATCAGTACGACTTCGACGGGTCTTGTCTCATATCTGCATTGACAAACTCCCCATCTTTCTGATAACTGGGACTTGATAATATGGCGAGAGTGGACAGAGCGTTTGTACAAGGGGAATTAACCCATACCACACTTAACTCAAACCTGGACATTGATGAAATGTTTTTACCAAGTTAAAAGGGTTAATTCTCGTGCATATACACGAACAAACTGATGCTGACTTGTTGCAGCTGAAAGAGTTAATAGACTTTGTGCCAAATCCGAAGAGCCGTTGCTACGGCCTAGCCTTTGCGGGGTTAAGGCTCTAAATCACTGAGCCTCCGGGTTGACGGTTTTGATAAGGTCAATTGCGATGTACCACGTTACATCAGACGTTAGAGCTTGACTTGGCCAAGCCGGAATGACTCGTAAGGGGTTAACCCCGCACTCACATGTGTCTTGAACTGATATTGTGGAATAACAGATTCATATGGTCGGATTACACATGCATGTGGCCACAGACTGTCAACAGTGATGATCTCCATACTGACGCCATTTTCTGCATTATTTAAACTTGCTGGTCTCAAAATGCGCTTTATGCCAGAAATTCTTTTACTCTATTTTCTATTTCCTTTGGTCTCAAATGAAGTTTGATCTTTAGTCGGTCATTTAGCAAAGCATCTCGATCCTTTTGAACACAAGCTCCAGTACATGGATATGCGGTTGTGTCGAATTTCGATATAACAGGAGTTTCTTCTGATCATTGGCTCCACAGCTTCGATCTGTTAAAGCGGTAGGCAATCTCAAATCACTTCATTAAATCAATAGTCCCATACTATTTTCCTGTCAATCGATACTTGATTTAACAGTGTCTCATAGACTCTATACAATTGTCTCATTGAAGTATTACTCGGATGCATGAACACTTTACTCCATAACCAAGTTTTGTAAAGTTTAATAAAATATTGTTTATTTTCTAACTAAAACGACTTCGTGTGTTTCTTTGCATGTAAACAGAATGAAAGGGTCTGCTATTTTGTAGGATGTATGCGAAGAGATTTTATATTTATTTAAGTATGTATGTTTATCTAAACACATTCTAATGATATCGGGCGATGGGGTAGCCTAGTGGTTAAAGCTTTTTGTCACACCGAAGACCCGGGTTCGATTTTCCACATGGGTACAATGAGTGAAGCCCAGTTCTGGTGCCCCCGGTCGTGATATTGCTGATAGATTGCTAAAAGCGGCGTAAAACTAAATTCAGCTACTCACGCTAATGATATATTCGTCCGAGTGGCATTCAGTAAAATGTTGGTGTGAATGTAGAAATGTTTATTTTGGCTCGAGTTTTATTTTTTAAATTAGTTTCTGTTTAAATATTCGTGCAAGGTATATGTGTGTCAGAAGGGTGCGTGTCGTTGCTGACTGTGAGAGGAAGCGATGATAACGTTCTATGTCGTGTAGCGCATGTGTTCGGTTGAATACCTGTTACCTTTGAATGTTTATAGGTAGATAGCCCTGTCGGGAGGTAAAATAATGCTTCATTGACAGCCAATATAATTCGAAAAAAATCAGGAACCTATTTGAAATTACTAAAGTACAGAATGATCTGTTATCAGTACGTAAAAACAACAATATTACTTACGACAACAAACAATTAAAAACATGAATTCCTAAATATATTTGTCGTAAGAACATAACTATGCACAGCTATAAATGGGAATACGGATAAGTGAGATGCGTATATTCGCTTAATGAAGCGTGTTAAACGTGTATATATATGAAAGTTTGTATAGAAGCTCGCTGGGGTATAATAAGTTTAGAATGTATATCAATAGCATTATATAGCGTTCAACACAAATAACACGGCTTCCAACCACATACACACATTTTCGTGCAACTTCACAAATTGCACAATCCTTTTAGAAATAAACTATATCCCGGGTTGTTTGTATTCGTGTTTACACGAGCCTCGATAGTTGCCTGAAATTACTTAATTTTATTTCTACAAAACCACAGGGAGTAATTGAATATCAAGCAATTTAATTGGGCGGTGGGGTAGCCTAGTGGTTAAAGCGTTGGCTCGTCACGCCGAAGACCCGAGTTCGATTCCCCACATTGGTACAATGTGTGAAACCCATTTCTAGTGTCCCCCGCCGTGATATTGCTGGAATAATTGCTAAAAGCGGCGTTAAACCATACTCACTCAGTCACTCACTCAAGCCCCCATACCTCAGCTCGTCCACTGAAAACCTCTGTCCTGTTTTCAACCAGAACCTGTCACATTCATCTGACAGTCGTTAATCCTCCTATGCATTTATCAGAAAAAAGATGTGTTTATGTTTAGTGAATGGGGTGTGTCGAGCCAGTATTTTGGTGAGAAACATGTTACTTACCTCGTGACAACACAACCCTTCATGATCGGGATATTTTCTGCCAGTGGAACTGAAGTGTTAAAGCTTACTATTTTCCATACATCCATGTGGTCGTATCCAGACAACGTAGATAGGTGTTCACAATATCGATCACTTGGCGAGAATCGATTATTTACAGGCCGTCGTCATATAGCTGAAATATTGCTGAGTTAAACAAAAGAAACTTACCTTAGGCCATAGGTTTGTGGACATAATAGTGAATAGGAAAACTTCCAAGCAATAGGTGTTGTGTCTGTTAGTCACCGGTGCACATGCTCCTTAAAGACGTTCTGAATCTCCATATAACCACGTATTGAAGATAGCAACGAGCCTCAAGCCGATATTGCAAACGAAGTGTATCAACAAATTCAATTTGCTGTAAAACATTCACAGTTTTAAAATGTTCCGATTTCATTGATTTGACTTTTGTGATCGTGAGAGTGAGTGAATGAGTGAGTTTAGTTTTACGCCGCACTCAGCAATATTCCAGCTATATGGCGGCGGTCTGTAAATAATCGAGTCTGGACCAGACAATCCAGTGATCAACAGCATGAGCATCGATCTGCGCAATTGGGAACCGATGACAAGTCAACGAGCCTGACCACCTGATCCCGTTAGTCGCCTCTTACGACAAGCATGGGTTACTGAAGGCCAATATTCTAATCCGGTCCTTCACGGGTGATCATGAGAAGAGACACGTTCGTTCTGTGACAGTGTGCTGTCAGCATAGCACGTATCGAGGCATCCTCCATATCTCCAGGGTATACGTTCTGTATACTAAAGTGGAGATTTATCGGAACATATACCATGGAGATATCGAGGATGGTATCGAGGCACCTAGACTAACCACTAGTCTCTGAAATGAACATATTTTACAAAAAAACAGCACATAATAAAAACATAAGATATAATGAGGAGACCTGAGACTTTCTTCATCCTGAAACTGTGGAAATCTAGACTTGCCATATATTCTAGACTTGCATGGGCTACATTGGGTATGTTTGTTTCAGGGTCTGTATGACAGATTACCAGGTACCAAGTCTCCACGGTTGGTCAGGGACGCGTGGGTTGGGAAATGTTTCCCTGCCGGTCGACCATACACAGTCTATAATACTCACGCACCTACTCGGACGTATATGCATGAATGGAATGAGTGAATGATTACTCGGGTGATAATGATTTGAGGAAGAAACGATTTACTGGATATTGAGACGGGTCCATTACCGAAACATATAACATTTTAGCAGAAAATATTTTAACAGTTTATTTCGAACTAACCCTTCATACAAAAACCGTCATTCATACGCAAAGTAAAGTGTACTGGAGGTTTTGAGTTTAACAGACGCGGAGATACAATAGATTTGCCCTATATGACTAAAAACCACGTATCAGGAACAAGAGATGGGTTTGCGGTTGAGACAAGATAGTACACGAGTATCCGCACGACGTTATACAAGAAACAGGAAGAAACATTCAAAAATAAACATGTTTTTCCTCTGCAACACGCCGGCTATTCCTGCTATTTCGTGTCAACCAGTTTACCAGTTACAAGGTCCAAACTGTCCGGGACGTCTGAATCATCCAAAAGCTGAAATACTCTTTGACTGGTAAAACCTGCCTTGTTTCCCACTCACTCTACATTGCTAACCCGTGAAGATCCGGGTTAGAATTGGTCTTCAGTAACCCATGCTTGTCGTAAGAGGCGACTAACGGGATCGGGTGGTCAGGCTCGCTGGCTTGGTTGACACATGTCATCGGTTCCCAATTGCGCAGATCGATGCTCATGCTGTTGATCACTGGATTGTTTAGTTCAGACTGGATTATTTACAGACCGCCGCCATATAGCTGGAATATTGCTGAGTGCGGCGTAAAACTAAACTCACTCTCACCCATTCTACATTGCTGAACATTACGTACAGTGACCACTGGGTAATGGGTGGCGAGTAGCCTTCTAAATGTTCATTTGCGAGGTCCGGGTTTGATTTCCTTTACAACTAAAAGCAGATCATATGTTTTCCCTGCCGTGATACTAATGAACAGTTGCCAAAAGCGGCATTGAACTAACTACCCTAGCTAACCATTGTTCCTGCTTGCTTATACTTGCTTATGGTTGCTCATACTTGCTCATTCTTGTTCATAGTTGCACATAGTCGCTCATGCTACAGCACAGCCGCTCATACTTGGGGTATGGGTACCTCCTTTAGTCCTGACCCACCCCTTTCTGAACTGCGCACACCCCACCCCCTCTCATACGCTCTTTCATACTCTCGTTCATAGTTGCTGGTTGCTGTTGCTCATCCCAACTCGTGCTTACTCTCGCTCAATCTTGCTCACAGTCGCTCATCATCTGTCCCGTAATATCTTCAAGAATGGTATTTAAGCTACTATTATGTCAGGCTGTTCTTCAAAAACATTGGAGGCGGTGGGGTAGCCCAGTGGTTAAAGTATTCGCTCGTCACGCCCCAAACCCGTGACGTGGGTACAATGGGTGAAGCCCATTTCTGGTGTCCCCGGACGTGATATTGCTGGAATATTGCTAAAAGCACTCACTCAAAAACATTGTTTGTGTGTACTGGCACGTATTAGAGTTTACGTAATAAAAAACTGTTATATATAATAGTAACTCACTCGGACAAACTGTTGACAGGATTGCTAATGTGTGTCTAGTTCTATGACGTCACTGTCGACGACTGATCTTTCCACCGATGTAATTGCTAATGTCAAAAGTATCACGTGTCACAACAAAACGTCATGCGGAAACCCCGTGTGGAGACATCAGCTTGTTGGAGGCCTCGCTTCTTACACAACACACTCACGTGGAGTATAAGAAACATGTACTATACAAAGCATTTTTAAATGAATGCAAAATTAAGAAAAATATGTTTTGCCTATTCTGATTTCATTCCGTGGCACAGAACTGGCAAGATTTTCTTTACATAAATCTAGATTGTTTTGTTTTCCTCAATATATACATAAATATATTTCACACTAATAATATACAAGCATAATGGTGGACTCGGCACGCCGGTACGTGGCAGAGTTCAGTTTTCAATCACTTCCGTTGCATGATTTGGTAATTTAAATGTCTGTTGGACGTACACGGTACTTCGAAAAAGGACGGGGCGGTGAGGTAGCCAAGTAGTTAAAGCGTTAACTCGTCACGCCGAAGACCCGGGTTGATTCCATGTGTGAAGCCCATATCTGGTGTACCCCACCGTGATATTGATGGAATATTGCTAAAAAAACATACTCACCCCTTCCTCACTCGAAAAATGACGCTAAGTATGAAACGTGCAGTAGAAAAAAATACCTTCAATGACAATCTACAATTATATATACATGCAATGGATTACACAAACATCTGCTCTGTTTTAATATTCCTCGCAGTTCAGGTGTTATAAAACGAATGATTGTAAATAAACAAAAAGGAAGAAATATAATTTTTAAACCGGGTTCAAAAGACAGACTTTCAACAAGTATACTTTACTTTTCTGACATCTGACGCCTGTCACAAACACGGTACTAAAGTTTGAAATTCCTGTCAAAGAATTAAGCACGTATATTTAGCATAT